ATCACTGCGTCACTTCATAGTTCGACTGTTGTTTCGAAAATAGATTTGGTGCGGGCCCACCACCAAATCCCAGTGGCTCCTGAAAACGTAGAAAAAACTGGTGTCACGACTCCTTCTGGTCTGTTTGAGTTCCCACGTATGCCTTTTGGTTACAAAATACTGTCACGACTTTCAAAAGGTTTATCCATAGCATTACACGTCTATATCGGTGATTTATTAATAGCATCATCCACTGTAGACAAACATTATCATCATTTAGCATTATTATTTAAACGTTTATCTGACCATCGAATCGTGAACAGTCCTGATAAGAGTGAACTTGGTCGATCGGAATCTATTTTCCTTGGCCACAAGATCACACGACAAGTTATTCAGCCGTGGGAGGATAAGGTTAGTGCCATAACAGAGTACACATTAACATCTTAACTCAGAGGCCCAAAAGCATTTTTGTGATTGATAAACTTATACCGGAGGTTCTTTTTTCCCGCTGCTGAAATGCTACGACGATTGACGGACCTACTTCATGGCAATACACGTAAGCTCTTACTAGCGGATCCCGCACGAGTAGCGTTACAAGCAGAGTGTATAGCACTTACGACACTCCTTATGCATCCCGATCCATCAGCCACGCTTAGCATAGCGGTTAGTGCCTCAGATTGTACCATCGGAGCGGTCTTGCAGCAATCCGTTCCTGTGATACGGTAGTCTGTCGAGTTTTATTCTCAAAGCCTCACTCCCACAAGAACGAGGTATAGTACTTTTGGTGGGGAACTGCAAGCTGCTTACAGTGCAATCAGGCATTTTTGGCACGCAGTCGAAGGTAGGGATTTCACCCTATTCACCGACCATAAGCCTCTAACGTATGCTTTGCATACCAAGTCTGATCGTCATTCTTCGCGAGAAATCAGACATTTAGACTTTTTTTCACGGTTCACGACTGACCTTCGACATGTGCAGGGCAAGTCGAACTGTGTTACTGAAGCATTGTCACTCATTAGCATTAATACGATAATGCCCACCGTGTTAGATTATTCTCCCATGGCCGCAGCACAGGCAAACGATACCTCTTGTCAAGAGGCAGCCGGTTCACCATCGTTGCAATGTCAAGTAATACCTCCAGCAACGACTTCTGGCAACATTCTCTGCGATAACTTAACAGGCAGCCCTCGCTCAATGGTACCTTCTTCTTATCAGAGTCTCGTGTTTTATACTTTACATTGGCTATCTCACCCAGGTATCGCAGCCACATTACGCTTAATTGCTGTACAATACGTCTGGCCGTACATGAATAAAGATGTTAGAAAACAGAGGTGTGGCAAACAAGCCTCGTTTCAGCGCTTTATATACTGGCCAATTACTTACATTATACAACTCGGAAATAACGCAGGAGAGTCAAATCGCGGTTATAGCGTGCATAAAATGGACGTTCAGGGGTTTGGAGGGGAGTTGAATTAACAATGACTTCATGACTGGTTACTTCCGAGTTATATATTGTGCTGTAATTGGCCAGTATATAAAGCGCTGAAACCAAGCTTGTTCCCCACATTTCTGTTTTCTAATGAATTTATCGGAATTATTGATCCATTTTAAAAACGCCCGGCCGTACTGAGGGGACTGAGAATGTACATACGGTTCCGTACGCAACTGGTTCGAGCTAATGCTACAATTAGTTTTCTTAAAGATTGTATCTTGAAACAAATCTACCTGAAACGTTTCTGCAGTGTACTCCGTCGCAATCACATTAATTTCTCACGTCTAGCCTTCTATCGCCTTACGCTAAAAGAAAGAGACTCGTGGGTTTCTCGCAGGGATGAACTAGAGCAGAGACTGAAAATATGCACCGAAGCGCCACGTAAAGTGACCGACGATGAGGCCGATTGTTTTATGTCTTATGCGGAACAAATTGAGAACCAGCAAACTCACAAGCGGGAAATGAAGCTGCGCAGTCAACGCCTAACTGATGGTATTGAGAACAAATTCCCAATGGATCCTGAGCGGTATGTCCATAATCTTTCTGCTTTGAATCTCGATAAGGTCACGTTAGAACTACTGTCACTAGGGTTTAAATTTTCCTGTCCATCACGCAGTGTAAAGCAACTCAACATTGGAATTGAGTTTGAAAACCTATCTAGAGAACTGTTGGGCATGAAACCGTCATCCGGTGTTATTGAGGGAAAGATGAAATCCACCTTTGTACAATCATGCTATCAGTATTTGAGTCAACAGCACGATGGGAAAAGTATCTTTTCTAAGAGGCATTTTGATGCGCTACGAGAACTAAGAATGAATCCAGATATCATCTTATCAAAACCAGATAAAGATAACGTTATTATGAATCGAAAGGATTACGTGGATAAAATGAACGTTCAACTTCTTGACGGCACCCAATTTCCACGTATCACAGGCCAAAAGAACAAAACCGCAGCTACAGAAAAGTCAATATCAAAGACGCTTAAAGAACTAAAGAAAGGCGGAATTATTGGTTGTTCAACGTTTGGTAGAATCCGACCAAAGGGAACAACCATTTCTAGATCGTATGGATTAACGAAGGTACACAAACAAGGCTACCCACTAAGACAGATCTTGGATGTGTAATTTGCCTTGTCATGCGGTTGCAAAGTGGCTAGCCTAAATAATTGAGCCACTAAGGACGAAATTGGTAAAATACTCTCTGAGGGATTCATCTGAATTTTTGGACTTGATAAAATCTCTAAACGCAAACAACAGGCGTATATTTTCGCTGGATGCCACTTCGCTATTTACCAATGTTCCCTAAAAGGAAACAATTGATCTTTTGTGTGAATACATTCAAAGAAAACATATGAATATTGGAATTCCAGTGGAAGCAATGCGCTGTCAATGATCAGTTTCAGTTCATCGGCTGCGTGTGTCGTCAAAAGGTGGAATCGATATGAGCTCATCATTAGGCCCCTTACTGGCAGAAATTTTTGGCAACGTTGGAGAATGAGACATTGACCACCTAAATCGAACGGTGTGTTCTATACAGACGTTATGTTAATGATATTATTTGAGTTATTGACATTTCACGGAATCCCTCAACGTTTTTGGAAAGTTTCAATCCGGCTCATCCTAATATAAACTTCACATTAGGGATAAAATCTGTTCAGGGAATGGCGTTTCTTGATGTTTACTTTTCGCACCGCGAAGATGGCTCCATTAAACGAAGTATATACAGAAAGAATACATGGACAGGACAGCGCAACCTAATCCAGTGCATCGCCAATCGTGTAAGAAGAATTTGTTCTACCGACACAGTGCATGATGAATTGGCAACAGTTAAGTCAATGTTCCTAAAATATGGATACCCGGAGGAACTTGTTGATCGTTGTATGATAGCTTACGTTGCGAAATCAAAGAACTCAGCAGTGGAGAAAAGTTTACATATCATTGCCTTTCAAAGGCGACACCCTTGCGAGGACAATGAGCAAACAGCTAAGGAATGTAGTAGAATGTAGTTATTTCTTAAGAGATCTGCGAATATTCTACTCTTCCAAATCAGTCCTCCCATAACAGGTGAAGGATAGGCTGTTAACCAGTTTACTTGCTCCTGTGGCGCAAGTTACGTGGGTTGCACCACCAGATGCCTGGTCTATCAGGTGAGAGAACAACATCCAGCTTGGTTCAGTCGGGTAGCGATAAAGGTAGGTGCGAGTGCGGTTGCTATACATCTGGCCGAGACGAATCACACCGTAGATGTGCGGGAATTGTTCCGCTCTATCTATTTATTGACAGGGATCCGGCCTAAGGATGTGAAAATTCGATTGTTATGTACAGCAGACACTATATCAATTAGAATAAACAAACCCCCGTTATGTCCACATAAACAGTTCGTTAAATCCCTTGCCCCCTCTTCCATGGCCGTGTGTCCGAATTGTCCCCACTTAATACATCAGTTGAATATTCACACTCCGTAAGGGATTATCACCAACCATGCAATCAGTGTTAATACATCTCTTCCCCTCCCAACCCCTGAACGTCCATTTTACGCACACTATAACCGCGATTTAACTCTCCCTGTGTTATTTCCGAGTTGTATAATGTGTGTAATTGGCCAGTATATAAAGCGCTGAAACGAAGCTGGTTTGCCACATCTCTGTTTTCTTATGAATCTATCGAAATAAAGACGTTCGTGTGTGGGCGAAACAGTGCCCACAATGTCTACGAGCTAAGATTAACAGACAAGTAGTTTCACCCATAGGACTTTCGCTACGCCTGACGCTCGATTGGATCGTGTGCACATTGACGTTGTCGGACCTTTTCCACCCTCGCAAAGATTTACGCATATACTTGAATGCATTGACCGGTTTACAAGTTGGCCCAAAGCTATTCCCATCTTTACCGTCAAGGCCGAAACAGTGACTCTACAAGTTGTAGACCGATAGGTAACCTTATACGGTTGTCCCTCTACGGTCACCACCGGGAGAGGACAAAAATTTGAGTTCGATATTTTCTCCTCATTAACGCGTATGCCGGGTACGGAACGCATTCGAAACACAGCCTACCGTCCAGCAACTAATGGTTTGGTAATGATAATAATAATAATGTATGTGTCACGAAGACCGTGAATCATGCACAAAGCATGATCATCTGTTCATAATAGTCATATGTACAATTAAATTGCTGGTATATAAAAGGTCCAATTAGAAGATATATACAATGGAGGCGGTGGAGGAGCGGAAACGAAAACGCAGTGCGAATGGAACATAAAGCGAACAGAGTCACAAACGCTTATATGGAGGATGGAGGAGTGCACTAATTATACATGTCAATGGAAATCGAAGAGTGAACCTTGTATAGAGTAGATTTGAGGTGCGGCCTCAATGGGAGGAGATACCGAGAGACGGTCTGTGAAACAAAGGACTCGAGAGTCGAGCGTTTTCATCGCCAACTTGAGGTTGCCTTACGGGCACGCGAGAATTCTAATTGGAAACCCTACCTCTAGTTCTGCTCGGAATCAGAACTTCTGTAAAGGCAGACATTTAATGTTCCACCGCTGAACGTGTCTTCGGCACGACATTGCGACTGCCTGGAGAATTCTTCACGCCACGGAGTAGTGCCAACATAGGAATCCCCCGACATATGTCCAACGTTTGTCCACCTTCATGCAGATACAGTCTACAGCGCAAACACGAATACAACAAAGGCAGGTGTTCGTGCCCTCCCCCGAATTATCATCCTGCTTGCATGTATTCGCACGCTTTGATTCGGTACGTAAACCTGTACAGAAGCCTTACGTGTCATTCCACGTCACGATAAGTCCTTCAAGGTTGATCAACATGGCCGCGTATACACGATTAGCATAAATCGACTTAAAGCATATCACTTTGAAGAAAACGTTATGCTAACACTAACACCAACACTAAACTTGCTGCCAAGCCCTCTCAGCCTCTGAACGAGATACCAGTCTCACGTTCAGACTTGCATTATTCTCCCGCTGCACCAGCTTTAGACGAAGCACCTGCTTCACGTCCTACCTGGCAGCCTCCACAACTTGCCACGACTCCGAATGAGATTTCACCCTCACATTGGAGTCGGCAATCACCACTCGCTGCCATGGTTTTGGATGAGGCACTCGCTTCACATTCAGACCGGCAGCCTCGCGCAATGGTTCCGACTTCGGATGTGACCCCGGTTTCACGTCCAAGTTAAACCGATGCAGCTTTATCCCAACCATCGAATGAGACTTCCGTCTCACGTTCTGGTTGATGGATTGTTTCGCCGGCACGTTTTTGAACGTAGATGAAACTCGATCCTGAAACACTGTACACTGCACAGAAATACCATTGCGTCGACTAATATCACGAGTTCGACTCGATATTTGTTTAACATTTATATTGCATTTTGACAAAGTATTAAAAGTCGACTCTCGTAGCTCGGGTGAACTGAATTCTATTTCGCCTGTTCGCCGAGCTTGAAAATTTGTTTGCAAACGTTTCATCAATAGCCGAGGTGACATCATCAGTGCTTGTGAAGCACTTTACATCTTTGCAGAAAATGTCAAGATGGTGTGATCAACCAGCCGGAAGCAATAACAGGATGACCTGCGTAGAGCAACGGAATGGGCAGCAGTCTGGGACCTCACACTGAATGCAGAGATAGGTAATTTACTTTTCCGTGCTGATGAACAATTTTCAATCCAACTATGTGGAGGGGATTTCACCGCAGGGGATAGTAAGAACCAGCAAAGACTTAGGAATATCGGTGGCGGTAGATTTTCGCTGGGAGAACCAGTGTGTACTGGCTGCGGTGAGGGCGAGGAGAGAGCTGCTCAGGCTCAAGTCAGTACTGTCATGTAGGAAACCCAACGTATTCCTTACCCTGTACATAGCCATAGTCAGGCCACACTTAGAGTGCTGCATGCAGGCTTGAGAACCCTTTTTTAAAACGGATGATGAGCCTGTTTAGAGACAGTCCAAAGTCTAGCCACTGGAATGGTTGGAGGTCAAAGGGTAGGTCATACCAAGACAGACTAAAAGACTTGAAACTCTTCTCGCTAGAAAGGAGAGGACTAATGGGGGGAACTTATTAGAAATTGTAAAGGGGCTTTCGGGAGTAAGGAAACAGAGAGTGCTTATGGAGGCTAACTGCCAATTAACTAGAGGGAACGGGCACAAACTACATAAGCAGCGGTGCAACATGGTTGTTAAATCAAGATTCTTCAGTTAATGAGTAGTGAACAGTTGGAACTGGTTGCCGAAGCAATCATGTTAACCAGGCAGTGGTGTTCACTCTCTAAACCCAATTCTTTATCAGCACACGGATTCAGCTTCAAAGCTGGATCTGTGGAACATAATTAATTGTGATACATAATCCTAGCAGTATTGTGACCTCTTCCTTCATAATCGAAATGTTTCCAATATGGTTTTCACCTGTTTCACTTGACTCAACTCCGTGGCACATGCAAACCAGGCAGCTGTGTTCACTTTTTAAACCCAATTCTTATCAGTACACGGAATCAGATATAAAGCAGGATTTGTCCAACAGACGTATTTCCGGTTCATATTTGTGCACATTTTGTAACTAAATACTCCCAAATGGAAATCCTTAGTGTGCCGTTTGTGTATGAACCCGCGTTACCTTCCAGATTTCGGTCCTGTCATGTCCATCCTAGTGATACACCGCAGTTCATTTTCCCTTAGCATTTATATATATTTATATGAATGTATTTATTTATTTATCGATATATATATTTGTACAATTTCGGGCAATAAATCTCTCTGCAAATTCGTTTGCAACATGCTGTTTCTCCCCTACCCTTATCAGCTGGGTACTTCCCCAGACTGCCAAGTTTCGCCTTTTTGGTTCAGATTCGGTTGGCTTGGGCCTGCCGAAGGCTTGGGGCCTACATCCACAATGGACAATCTGGCTCCGGCAATGGTTGTTGGGCACGGCTGTTTCCACAGTTTTGACTACATGCGTCCGCATTCCGGACCAGGTTGAGGATCACACCCTCTGCCTCACCTACAAGGTGTTGTAAGGTTGGGTGTCTAGCGTGTAGTCATACCCACATCAAAGTGACCAACGTCTAAATAACTTAAATAATATAAACCACTCAATCCGTTACCAGTGAAGCCCTGAAGCCCCTTACTCCTTGCTCAAGAGGTCAGTCCATCTGTATCCATTTTTGAAACAGTTTATTTATGATCCATTTGTCGTCCTACTGTATTTCGTTGCACTTCCTTGGTTAGACCGCAGCTCTTCCTCTGAAATTCTAAAGCTTTTCGTTTACTGCCCTTCTTCTATTCTCCGAACTCGTTTCCGCGCATTATCTCCCGAACGGATATATTCACCTCCAGTTCTGTCTTTTTCAATGTTCTTCATATGACAATCGTTTACATTGATGTGATCTCCATATCAGATCACCTTCAGTACTGCATTATTTGGCCTTGTCCGCTTTGTGTTTCTTTTTCATCGCAGTGCATGGTTACAATGCCTTTTGTACTGTTTGAAAATTACGTTCTTACACTCTCTGTACATTTAATCTTTGTTTGGACCGTCATTTTTTACATTTACATTGTACAAACCACACCCATATTCAAATCTGTTACATTGTTGTACATTTGATCATGAGCACTAGCATGCCTCACGGGCTTCGTGAAATATACCGTTATTATTATTATTATTATTTAGGAAGCGTGACTGCATTTAAGCTCGCCCTGGATGAGCAGTGGTTAGAGCTTTATCCAGAATAGGATCTTTAAAGTACTATGGAACGCCTTCATGACCTGTCTCTTGTTCGTTAATGAGGTGAAAGGAGACCAGCTTTTTCCTTTCTTTTTCAGCAAGGACGCCCTGCTGAAGGCAATTCGCAGTGATGGGTGCACACTTTGTCAGCATACTGCCGGTAGTAATCTGGACGCGTGGCCATTATCAGTCCTACGCAAACCTGACCTGAACTGGCCTGACTGCCCTACGGTCCAGCNGGGATGGTAGTTAGTTCCACTCATCTATTACTCTGCTCCTGAAGATTTTCTACCTACGGTTGATTCGTACACTGGATTTCATCAGCTCCGAATGATGCCTCCAAATTAACTCGAGCGGTGCTCAGGTAAACAGGGTGTAGCCTCTAGCCCAGCCAACTCCATTATTTGAAGATTTCAATGATGTAGCCTTTCAGGAGTCTCCTATCCATGGAGCAAAGCCCTAGGGATTCTAATCGCTCCTTTCCGTGTTTTACTCCTCAGTGGCATTATATAGAGGTACGGAAACCTCAGCCTTCCTTGACGAAAAGGCCGCCTTAAGCTGAAACAATTGCCCCTCGCTATTTGTGTGGCGGCCAGGCATTGATGACTGGGCTTAAAGTCCTCGCGGACCAAAATTCCAAGATCCAACCTTCGCTGTACTCAACGGAAGACCGTCGATTCTGTGGTCGTAGCCAACTGAACGGTAAGCATTACGGTTTTTAGAACATAACACTCAGTAGCGTTTAGCTCCAAGTCCCATATCTGTGCCCACCGGAAAACCTTGGCCAGATCAGCTTCTATTTAATGTACAGGTCCTGAGTTCACTAGTTTTACGTCGTCGGCAAAGATGAAGGCGGGAAACGCTAGTTCATGNCATGAACCAGATCATTTATAAGCAGCAGAAAGAGCATCGGGCCTAGCCCTGAGCCCTGAGGCACTCCACTGGATACGCTGCCGACGTTGGACAGAGCTTCTTCCACCCAAACTCTATAGGTCCGGTTGGTGCGGAAAGGTTTTATCAATCTACTTGGGGCTGTTGGGATACCAAAGCCCCTATGCTTTATTAGTAGAAGCCGGTGATTTACCAAGTCGAAAGCTTTCCTGAAGTCCAGGTAGCACACTTCGACTTTCTGACCTCCATCGGAACTCCTTGTAACTTCGTCTAAGAAACAAAAATGGTTGCTCAAATACGACCTACTTTTGAAAAAGCCGTGCTGGGGAGGGCTAATCAATCAATGTCGAGTGACTTGCTCACAGAGAGCATTTTTAACAATGGTTTCTAAACCTTTATACAGCACGCTGGTCAAACTTACGGGTCTGTAGTTACCAGGTTGCTTCCTATCTCCACTCTTGCAAATGGCTACCAGTTTGGCAGCCGCCCAATCACTAGGTACTCTCCCAGCCCTTAGGGACTTCTGATAGAGTGCGTTTATTGCAGGGCGAGCACAGGAGCGAGTGGTCTGAAGACGGCCGGGTTTAGTTCGTTGCTTCCGGCGGACTTGTTTAGATTCAAGCTCTCCAGGACCTTGATAACACTACTAGTTGAAACTTCTAAATCGTCCATTGGCGGGTTGTCTGAACACTCTCGTGAGACCGCACGCGTCATCTATTTTATAGACGTTTTCAAAATACCTCCTGAGTGTCTCACATTTTTCGTTATCTTAGACAGTCCTCCGGGGTTCTCCAAAGTGCCTATCGATTTTCTTATTGCAGTCTTCAATTGCACGTAGCTATAGTACCTCTTGGATTTCTGGAGCGCTCTATTGGTGATCTTCACCTCGAAAGTCATTTTCACCTGTTTAACTAGTTTGTTTGCATAGTTTCTCGCCTTCTTATATTAGAACCATCGATCATGCCCTCTTGTGAGAACGACTGCCTTCTACCTACGAGTCCTTTCCCTTATGGCGCTTTTGATGGCCGGCTTCCACCATTGCGGTTTGTGGGTATCATCCCGAGGCTGCAAAGGGGCATGCCTCTCCGTCAGCTCTTATAGCTGGTCACGGATTTTCCCCCATCGTTGATCAACAGACGAATCTGTTCCCTGTGGAAACCATGTTCTGGCTTGAGTAACTTCCCTCAAGTCCTCTACGTTTACTCGCCCGAAATCGCGGCACCACCTGCCGGGTGGTTTTTCTTTTACAGTGCATGTTTCTAGCAACAGTACATTTTGGTCGCTTTTACCGAGAGGAACCTTATGTCGCTGATCTCACTCTCGTGCCGCATGAGAACTAGATCTAAGGTAGACGGTCTCTGCCTTAGCCGGACACACGTTGGTTCTCTCACACACTAGTAGAGCGGTGCCGTGTGAAAGCAGTTAATGAATTCATTTTTTGCTTGCCCCTCTTCCTCGTCATATTGCCATTCTATTCCGGGGAGGTTGAAATTCCCCACTATATTCGGTGAATGATTTCCCCTACCGACTGTGGCAATCACATCTATTAACGCTCAATCATTCTCCGGTCCAGAGTTTGATGGTCTGTAGACAGCTAAT